CGGATGGGTTGTGAGATTTTGATGATAATGGCTCCCGATGTTTTTGAAGCGATAAATCTAAAGCAAAAATTTTAATGACATGAATTTAAATGATAATATAATATAGAGACAATAATGGTATAAAACCTAACTGTTAAATTATAATCTATTAGAATAATATTTTAATAATGCTTTGCAAGATATATATCGTTTCATTTTAAGAACTCATCTTTATTTTTTTAAGATCATTAAGTCGAATAACGAGAGCTGTAAAATCAAGGAACATCATTAAAGTTAAGGATATAAAATATAGTATAGAGACAATAATGGTATCACACCTAACTTATTTAATTATAATCTATGTTTTAAAATAATATTTTAGTAATGCTTTGTAAAATATATATTGTTTCATTTCAAGAGCTCATCTTTATTTTAATATCATTAAAGTTAACAATATAATAAAATTTCTCTTTTTGATATATATAAATTTAATTAAAAAGTAGATTATATATAACAAATAAAATTAGGCATTACAAGGTGTGGTGGATAGTCTAGTTAGTAAGACTTACATTACCTATCCTCAAAATGCGGGTTCAAATCCATGTAGCGTACATTTTTTATTTAAATTGTTTTTTTATCTATCTTATCTAAATAGTCGCCGCTTCTCTATAGTTTTAAATTTATATTTTTAGTCTGCATATCATACCAAATAGTGTGTGATAAGATATGCAGATTAGAGGTCTGTAATGGGCGGGTTTTGCGAAAAGATTTATTTAACCTGCCCTCGCTCTCACTTATAATTTTTTTTATATATATTTTGTTTTAAAATTATTTTATGGCTGGTTTGGCTCTTTTTAATGTATTTTTAATTAAACATATAACATGGAATATTATGAAAAACTATTTACTGTTCTGCTCATTTCGCCTGAAAAATATCAAATTCTCCCAAATTTTTTAACCCTCTCGCCCAATGTTGAAAATATTTTTTTTAAAGTACGGGCGAAAAAACCACCCAATCCATACCTCTAGTTCAGATTATTGATAGGAGGCTCCAATCAATATCATAATTAAAGTTTAGCAATATTTAGGTAGGGAAGAGATCCTTACTAACATGCTAATTTACACAACATGAAATTTATAAAATAACCAAATACTCCGATCCCATGATATTTCTTATACAAAGTACATCTTCTCGATAGACATTAATTTAGACAAAGCTCATATATGACAGAAAATTTACTAGAGGCAAACCGCCTTTTCTACCCAACCCTTTAAAAATCACTGCAAAGAAACAGTAAGATAAATTCTTAGCCTAAATGGCTTAATCGTAATGCTTATTTTGTTTACCTAATATAATGTTTTAAAGATAATCCATCTTTATATTATTTTGTACTGAATTGGGTCACAAATATTAGATAAAACTTTATTTGGTATAAGAAAATAGACGAAGAACTTTATTGATATAAATATTTATACATAATTTTAAATTTAATAAAAACATCATGGAAAAATATAATTATTATCATATATTGCATATCAGAATGTAATTGAATATTATTTATAAACTACAACTTTCATAAAAAATATATATATAAGGCGATAAATTATAATATGAATGAAATATATTTATATATTTTTATATAAAAATTTTTTTTTAATAAAAATAATAAATAGTGATTAGATGGAAGATAAATCACAATCTAAAACATTTTCAAAATGACTCCCCCCATTTTTTATATAAATAAAATTATTATTAAATATTTTAATATTGTCGCGAATATAAAATGGGTCATATCGGGCCCATACAAAATTATCATTATATTTTATATAAGTAAAAATAGCGGTATTTAACATTGTGCCCATCGCCCTGACTTCTGTGTCAGAAGCCCATATCTGCTGTGTCATTAAATTATTTAAGACATAAGTTTTTATGTTCGTGTCTTAAAGATAATTTTCAATTATCTTTCCCATCTCGGATGTTAGCATAAATTGTGCCAACCATTGCCTGAGAATAACATGGGAATTTTGAGCTCCAGTAAGCTCTACACTAATCGCCCTAAATTATATAAAGTAGAATAAAATGAAATTTTATATTAATATGTTTTACCTATAAAAACAATTTCTATCACCTTCAATTTGCACCAGGATGGTGGGTTCACCAAGTTGTTTCCCATAGTCTACATCCCGACATCGTTTGGGAGGACTTAGACCATCTCTATGTGATAATCTAAATTAAATTTTAGTTGTAAAATAGCATTTAATAATGCCTATATGTAAAATTTTATCAAATGTTCTTACATATATATATATATATATACACTTACATTTGCAGCTATAATTAATTTTAGATGAAAAAAAGATAATAATCAATGGCCTGAACATTTTTCAATGTTAAAAAATAATATATTGCATTAAACTTATAATGGCTAATTTTAATAAATTAATCATGACATATCTAAAATTTACTTTCCCCATAGAATAATTGATTTTCTATAATCTTGAAGGCGGTGTTAGAACATTTTAGGAAGTCATATATATCATTATAATTTGAGCTAAAATATTTCTGAAATAAAAAATATATTGTTAAAAATTTACTTCATAATGAAAAAGAATTTCAAATTAAATTGTATTATATAGAAATATTTCTAATTTGACAGCCTCATTCAAATCTGACGTTTTAAAAGTATATTTAAATTAATAATGCGAGATTTTAAAAATATCTATGAGATTTTGAAATATTGAATAGCCGTGAGATTTTGATGATTTAAATGGCCCCCAATGTATTTGAAGCGATAAAAATCAAAATCTCATGAAATCACTTTCACACGGTGTCAGCCGTGAGATTTTGATGGTGTGAAAATTCGAAATCTCACGGTAATCATTTTCACACGTTACACCGGGCCAGGCTTGAAAAATTAGGCCCGATGAAGATCACTAAATCTTAGTGCAAATGCAATATTTTTATTAAAAATAGTATAATATATAAATATAATGACTAAGAATTCATTATAATTACGTTTTGAATATAAAAATTTTATGACTAAGAACATATAATAATATAGCAATTTTAAGAATTGAATTTATAAAGAGAGGTCTACTTCTCTTTGAGATTTGACTTATATCTAGAATCAAATTTTTATCTGGAATAATCTCCTTATAAATATTTAATATTGCGAATCCATTTAAACGGCTTTCACCGGTTCTATTCTTAAATAGGTTTTTAACCTTTTCAAAGTTGAAAAAGACCTTTCTTTAGTGAAGGTGCTAAACGGGAAGGTAACTAAAATAATAAGCAATGTTTTGATATTAGGCAGGGAATCTAAAGTGCAATTATACATGGAAAGGACTGCAAAGCATATTTTGGTCTCAAAGAGTACTCTATTCTGTCAAAATTTTTATACCTAAATTCAACATCACAAAGTTAGTTATCATACGATCCTGATAATTCATCAGAATAAAACTCTGAGATTTTCTTAATATCCTCTCGCGTTTCAAGTGTATTTAGACTCAACCGGCATAAGAAAATAAAAGTTGTTTAAAATAAAATTATGACTAATAAATCTTTCCTTTTATTGAAATAAAAGTTGTTTAAAATAAAATTATGACTAATAAATCTTTCCTTTTATTGAAATAAAAATGTATCAATAAGGGGAGTAAAAATATTTATTTTATAAAAATCCTCAATCGTATATGCATCAATGTTTAAGCGATTGGACTCTCTAGAAACTACTCTATGTTTAAAACATTTAATCCCAAACATATTAGCGATCACTTTTACTTTCTCATTATATTTACCAAATTAAATGATTTTTCTTTTATTTAAAAATTAATTAAAATTTTTAAAACTATCTAAATTAGTTTGACAATATAAATTTTATTATTAAATTTATAAACATCTAATTTAACTATGCGAGAAAAAATTTGCAATATATTATTATTGTTATTTAATATTTTACATATAATTTTTAATATATATTTTTAAACCATGTTATCATTTAAAATTGAAAATTCTTAATTGTTTTTTTAAATATATTTCATTTTCATATCGTATATGATTTTATTTATAGATTAATAAAATTATTCGCAATAAGAAAAAAAAATAAATTTTTTTTCATTGGTTATGGGGGGGGGTCAACCCCAACCCCCCACTCCCCCCTTGTCTACTCCACTGGTTGGAACTTAGAAGGAACGTATTTTATTTTATTAATGAATATCCTGATATGGGTAAGGGGAGGTGCTATCCATATAATACCACTTATTTTTATAAAATATATTTGAAAAATTTTATTTATTTGAATAATTATTTACATTTTTGCTATAAGAATAAATTTCAATAGAAAACAATATTCAGGTGAATCTTTGGCCAATATTATTTATAAAAAAATAATTTCAACAGCAAGTGCTTTAAAATGTTTTTTTTTAAACAATGGACAAAATTATCCTGTTACAGCCGTAATTTTCAATTAACTGCCTTCCAAACCTCGAGCTAATATTTTATTAAAGTCTTCTATCAAAATAATCATAGATGAAATGTCTGAAGCTATTGATTCATTTTTAATGGTCTTCGCAAGAGTATTGGATAGTATCAGCCATTAGGAAAAGAGGCGAAATCCACAATTCTCATCAGCCAAAAGAGCCCTAAAACAACTTCGAGGCCCTTTTTGATCAAACAATAAATATAATTTTAAATTATTTAAAGATTCCTGACCGTCACCGGAGGAGGATGACTATTATTAATTTTTACATTTTCTTTGTTGGTTGTTGGTCATTATTTTTATAATCGTGATATTTCTTTTTTTATATATATATTTGTTTTTATTTCATAAAAATTAATTGACTTGATATAATTTATTTCCTTGAAAAGTTGGTTTAAATAAAATTTTAAATTATAAAAAATATTATAAGGAATTTTTAGAAAAAGTCAAATAAATATATAAATTCCGAAAAAAGTTAAAGGCATTTTTATGAATTTTGCAAGTTTATCTAGCACTAATGTAACAAAATTTTTTTGTTGTTATTAGGCGTGAAGCATCCCTTCATTCCTTTCAGAATACTGTGCAGGATCTACTACCAAGTAATCGAAATTTTTGACGAAATATCCAAAACCTTGTACGCTATATCTTCCTCCAAATTGTACTCGAATATCATTGCCGGTGGTGGTTTTACAGCTGATTGGCTTACCAGAAAGCTTAATAAGCATAAGGAACATCCCGTTTTTTCCCCGTAAGTTGTAAATTATCTGTTATAAAATTTTGTAATCGTAAGAATTTTTATTCTTTATATAAAATTTTTTTAAATATAGTTTCATGCAATGTTATTTAGTTTTATACAACATATATTTCTTATATATTAGAAACAATTAAAAATGATTAATCACAAAATAATAAATAATCCACTTATATATAATTATTAAATGTGATTTTTTTCCCAATAATAACGAAAGATACGTCAAAAAAGATTTAAAGTTCGCCCAGTATTTCCCTTCGGCAAATGACAAACCCTTTAATCTTTACCGGGACCAATTTAACTTGAGAAAACTCATCTTAGTTACTACTAAAATATCAAAAGTAAAAGCGAAATCTTTTTTAAAATTGTTATCATATGTGGTGTAAGCGAAAGTTTATCTACTAAGTTAACTTTCCTCGTAAACTCATTTTAAGCTACTAATCTAGAATGTATCCACCTTTTAGAGTTTGATATTTATCTACTTCTTAGTTAACTTTTGTTCCAAAATAACACTCTTTTATAGAATTACGATATTGTTCTGCTTAATGACCATTACCTCTTGAAAGTTACCTTATATTTAAAATTTTATGCTAGCTGATTGAATCTTCAGGACCAATTATTTAATAGTTTTATATCAAACAATGCTTAGATATTTGCTCTGGATAGCCAAACTGGTAAAATACTATATTCAATCCAGCTCAGATATATGATTCCATTCCAGTATGCTTTAAATGTACCTGACCGGAAAAATATAAAAGGGGATGAGGGCCAATTTTTGTTTTATCTACTCAGGAGCAGCTCTCACTTTCCTTCCATGCCTAAAGCTATCATCATAGGTCGAGATTCAAAAGTAATTTCTGTGATTCATTATCTAGTTTGTTATCATTTTTTAATAACTTAATTTCATCCAAAAAAAATAGATAGAGGATTGATTGGGTATTTAATCCTAGCAATTTCGGTGTATTTTGTATTCGTATAGACAAATATTCATACAACAAAATCTAATTTATTAAACATCCATAATTTGATAATATAAATACTAATAAATAACAGATTTTAAAAACTAGATTGGATCACGTCATCAGTGTGCCTTAATTGCACACCACAGATCTAGATTTAAATCTTGTTCATATTTTTCTTAAAGATTAAATAGCGTTAGCAGATAAAATATGCAGTACCGAAAAAAAGTTTAAAAGGGGGAAAAAATAATAAATATTATATAATTTTTTTGAACTATTTTAGAACATTTCAACTCGTCTCGTGTGTTTTAATCCTATATCAGGATACATAATCGACGATTTATCTTTCGATTTCGATATCAAACAAGCCATGCAATTATCAGTTTCATCAGTTGAGTCAGAATTCGTTAAGCCTGTGATAATTTTGGATGAGAAATACAAAGTTTTATATACCATATATTATTTTCTTGATGAATGTATGCCTCAAACTCAAAACAATATACAATACTTTATTACTTTTAAAAAATCATGTTTTTTATTTTTAGGTGCACGTATATCCACCCAATCTAGTCAACTTCGTTAAAGATTATATAGACAAAATTTACATTTACACGACCGAACCCTCGAATGGTGTCATAACCGGGTTTAAACTGGGCTCACCACAAAAATCACACCTTATAGTAATTTTTTATTAATAATAATGCCCCTATTTTTTTATATCTAGGATGAAATCGAGAATCAAACCTCATCGATTATTTTCGTTGCCTGGCCCATATGGAATCTTAATTTATTTTTCTTTCCCGGTCAAAGGGTATTATCCATAACGTCTAAAAAACCTAATGGTGAGTTGATATCAATATTTTATTTTATCATTTGGCCTAGTGTTGCATAAAATCGGCTATAATTTAATTAGTCAAAAATTCTACATCGGCTAATCGTCTTTCAGCGTTCCGTAAAATGTGCCTAGCATTAATTATTATTTATTTTTAGTAAAATTATTTATTTTATTTATATTTAAATATTTTATTATTATCAACCAAAAAACATATGATATGGTCTAGTGCTGTAAACATTAGAAAAATCGAACGCGTTCAACGTTCATTGTCATAAATCGAGCACGTTCGCGTTCACTTTCAAAAAAGAGAAATGCATTCACGTTCGTTCAAAATTTTATGATAATTTTTTTTTAAATATAATTTAATATGTCTTATATATTTTAACACATTATTATTAGCCATGCTAAAAAATAATATAGTTTTTTTTGATAATATAATTATTGCAATATAATATAGCGAATAAAAGATATTTTTATTTATAAAAAATTTTTCTTATTAATTTTTAATGACAATTGTTTTTCAAAATTTTCATCTGATAAACAGAAATGCTTGGCAGTCGACATTAACTATATTAAAAACACGCTCTACAGAGGCAGATGAGAGGATTGCGGTGTTATACTTATTAAACAACTCTTTTAACGCGGGGAATTTATTAAAAACATTCATTTTTTTTGTCCTTTGTTTCAAAAAATAGATAAGTTAGCCTCCTCCAATTCATCCGCTACTTCCTCACCAAAAAAAGGATATCTCTAAATTAACAGTTTTGCATTCTCATTTTTAGGGTTTTAGGGTCTATGGAAGTTTTATCCATGGCCATTGAGGCTTGAATATTGGTTGTATAATTGCCGAAAGAACATATTGATCTTCATATATATGTTCTAATCTTAAAAAAATATATGTAATTAATTTGATAGTGAAAGGTAAATACCATATATTAATCTCATTTAAATTGCGTCTATCAAGGGTTGACCATATTTTAGGTCAAATGTCGTTTTAAAATGGAACTTGAAGATTTTGTAACAGATATAATACGTTTGTGGCACATTTTACATTTGGTAATATACATGTTACTGTAAAATATTTATCATATTTAGGTCATGGTGATGTTAATTCATCTGATTTTGAATTTTTAGAATCAGAGATGATGAAATAATAATATCCATGCGTATATTAATCTATTAAATTAAAATATATACAATAATATTCAAATTAATAAACTATAATAATGGCGTGTTAAAAAAAATTGAAATGTAAAAGAGGAAAAACAGCTGATTAAAAATATGAGACTTTTTCTTAAAAAATTCGGATTAATATTAAATTTAAATAAAAATAAAATGTTTATTTAAATTGAACGAACGTTAAATTCGAACGCGTTCGTCAAAAAAAAAGTAACGCGTTCACGTTCAAAGTTCGTCAAAAATAAAGTTCATCATTTTTTTAAAAAAAACGAAACACTAATATGATCTAATATTTTTTATTTATATTATATTATGAAATGAAATGAAATGAAAGGAAATATGATTATATTATATTATGAAAATGGACTTATTTATTTTTTTAATAAAAAAAATGATCGCTATTGTAATATTATTTTTGTTACAATTTATTAGTGATTTTCACGCCAAAAATTACATATTTTGATTTGATAAGAATGAATCTTCTTCGTAAATATATCTTTTTTGAAGAAATTTTTTGTGATCTTTTATAATTTTTTTATATTCTTTTTGTAAAATTATCTATTTTATTAAGTATATTATAAGAAGTGGAAATAGTTTTTTAAAAATAGTTATATAAAACTTTTATTGTAAAGATGTTAAATTATAATTCAAATCATTATCATTATTATCACTACAATCAGTAGGTATTATTGTAGTAGCCTCCAATATATTGTAGATAATGGAGTTTTGCGTATGCCATAATTCCTTAAGATGGCCTTTAGCCATTTGTATTTTCTCAATACTCAATAAAACTTGATATTGAAGTCTAAATGTATAGAAGCGTATACAACACTATTTTGCAAATATTGTTGCTCTTGAATTTTCATGTTTTCTAATATTTCGTATCAAAAAGGACTAGTAAATCTTTCTAAATCTAATCGGCATCTAATCCATATGCCATAAAAATCAGACAAACATAATTGTTCTGATTGTAATCTTAATGTTGTTATTTTTAAAGGAACTAATACACTAGTAAGGTCCTTTATTTGGCACCAATCATCTTGCGACAAAATGACTTCATATACTCCTATAATAAAATCATTACAGAAATCTTTCAAACTTATTAATCGTTCTAGCATCGTATAAATTGAGGACCAACGTGTTGTTCTATCTAATATTGCCATTCACCTTTTCATTGATTTTAATATTCCTACAATTGTGGGAATTCTTAAAAATTTTGCAATATCCCCTGCTTTATCAATAGTTTTAAAGTGATTATTTTTTAGGCAATCATTAATAGCCAATTGTAGAGTATGGGCTGCAATATATATTTATGGGGAAGTCTATTAATATATTTACATAATAAAATACTATTACCTACTATAAAATAATTTATGATATCAATCTCTAAATAAAATGTAAGTCCAGGAAGGAAGTTGAAAGAAAAACGCGAAGATAAAATAAATGATTCCACGAAAAAAATTAATAAAATTTAAAAAATTTTATATTTTTAAAATTTGTAAAAAATTTTTATGACACTTAGAACCCTTGGACCCTCCACTTTAAAAAATGGTCTGGGTTCTGGTACAGCCAAAATACGAGGGTCCGGGTTCGGGTTCACATCCCTGTTTAAAAATACATATTTTTGCCCATTAGCGTAAAAAAATCTAATATGTTTAAAAATGCCGATTGTGATAATTGTCATTTTTCCAAGGAACATCTTCATTGAATTTATAATTTAACATCCTTACAATATAAATTATATTTTTACCCTTTTGTGTCAAAAAATTTCAAAAATGTTAAAAAATAACGAATATGACAATTGTCACAATAAAATATTATCCTTTTAAAGATCATATAAAATAACATAAAAAAGTTTAATATAAATATTTAAAAAAAGATTATTTAGAAAAAACCACCTCTTTTAATATACTAAAAAAATAGATAATTTTACAAATATGAAAAAAAAATTATAAAAGATTGTTATTTATAATAAAAAAATTTCTCAAAAAGATTTATTTACAAAGAAGATTTAAAATTCTTATCAAATCAAAATATATTCAAAAATCTTTTTCAACTTCAAAAAATTTTTTTTACTTAAAATTTGGGAAATCACTAATAAATTGAAACAAAAATAATATTACAATAGCAGAATATCATTTTTTTATATTAAAAAAACATCAAATAAATTAATCCATTTTCATAATATAATATAAATAAAAAATATTAGATCATATCATATGTTTTTTGTTGAGAATAATTATATAAATAAAATAAATTATACTAAAAATAAATAATTAATAATTAATGCTAGGCATACGTTGACTGACGATTAGCCGATTTCATATCTAGCCTGATTAGACTTAGCCGATTTTTTCCCTAAAATCTCGTCTAAGCCGTTTGTAGTCGGCTAAAATTAGCCGATTTCGCAAACACTATTTGTGTCTGAATTAAAAAATTAATAAGTATTAAGTGTCTGCAAGACCTGGGAAAAGGGCGATTTATCTCACTTCAATAGAAATCAAGGCTATTTTTTTCAAGAGATTAGTTCACAGAACTGGTCCTAAAAAGGCTTTAGATTTAATCAAATTTATTAAATATAAATTTACATCGAGCCATAAAATATTTTTTTATAAAATGAACAATTTAAATATTTGTTTATTTAATCTTATGATAAAGTATATTATTTAAGGTATTTTTCAGATAACCTAATTCTTAGTGATGATAAAATATATGCAAGTTATAAGAATACTCTCTTAACATACTTGATTATGTTAGATATTATAAGCTTTCAATGTTATTAAATTCATCGAGGAATAATTTGAGAGATGCTAGAGTTCAAATTTCTCCCTCGTCGATTTTGGCTCTAAAACAAATCTACACTTACATGTCTTCTAATATTTTTAGAATATGGGCGTAAAATTTAATTAATGATTTGGGATTATTGAACCTTTTTAATCTGAATGAATTATTTTTAAATTCGTTTAATTTAAAATCAGTGTTTGGGTTCCGGTTCTAAATATTTTCAAAAAGTTGGTTATGATTTTCTAAAATTTTGAAAAGCCGCTTCTGTTTCCCGTTCTTAAATTTGACGCGATTTCAAGGGTTCTGGTTCCAAATTATGTTAAAGCAATAAATAATTTTTTAAATAAATAAAGCCTCTTAAATTGAATCACAACATTTTAAACAATGAAATTACTTGTACTTTTGTTAGAGCCAATTCCTATAATTATTAAAAAAAGATTCTAGGTACTCGTTCCATTTCTTAGATTTGGGCAGGTTCTGGTTTCAAACCACTGGTTATAGTATTATATTGTGCTTTTAAATTTGTAGATAAATTTAGATTATGAGTATTAAACAAGAATCCAATGAGCATATTTTTATGTTTAAACAATTTTTTTTCGATTCTTACCCGGTGTAACGTGTGAAAGTGATCTGTGAGATTTTGAAATCTCACGCAATCACTTTCACACGGATGGGTTGTGAGATTTTGATGATAATGGCCCCCAATGTTTTTGAAGCGATAAATCTAAAGCAAAAATTTTCATGACATGAATTTAAATGATAATATAATATAGAGACAATAATGGTATAAAACCTGACTGTTAAATTATAATCTATGTTAGAATAATATTTTAATAATGCTTTGCAAGATATATATCGTTTCATTTTAAGAACTCATCTTTATTTTTTTAAGATCATTAAGTCGAATAATGAGAGTTGCAAAATCAAGGAACATCATTAAAGTTAAGGATATAAAATATAATATAGAGACAATAATGGTATCACACCTAACTATTTAATTATAATCTATGTTTTAAAATAATATTTTAGTAATGCTTTGTAAAATATATATTGTTTCATTTCAAGAGCTCATCTTTATTTTAACATCATTAAAGTTAACAATATAATAAAATTTCTCTTTTTGATATATATAAATTTAATTAAAAAGTAGATTATATATAACAAATAAAATTATAAATTAAAAGGTGTGGTGGGTAATCTAGTTAGTAAGACTTACATTACCTATCCTCAAAATGCGGGTTCAAATCCATGTAGCGTAAATTTATTATAATTGTTTTTTTTTTATCTATCTTATCTAAATAGTCGCCGCCTCTCTATAGTTTTAAATTTATATTTTTAGTCTGCATATCATACCAAATAGTGTGTGATAAGATATGCAGATTAGAGGTCTGTAATGGATGGGTTTTTAGCGAAAAGATTTATTTAACTTGCCCTCGCTCTCACTTATAATTTTTTTTATATATATTTTGTTTTAAAATTATTTTATGGCTGGTTTGGCTCTTTATTTATTTTAATGTATTTTTAATTAAACATATAATATGGAATATTATGAAAAACTATTTACTGTTCTGCTCATTTCGCTTGAAAAATATCAAATTCTCCCAAATTTTTTAACCCTCTCGCCCAATGTTGAAAATATTTTTTTTTAAGTATGGGCAAAAAAACCACCCAATCCAGACCTCTAGTTCAGATTATTGATAGGAGGCTCCAATCAATATCATAATTAAAGTTTAGCAATATTTAGGTAGGGAAGAGATCCTTACTAACATGCTATTTTACACAACATGAAATTTATAAAATAACCAAATACTCCGATCCCATGATATTTCTTATACAAAGTACATCTTCTCCATAGATATTAATTTAGACAAAGCTCATATATGACAGAAAATTTACTAGAGGCAAACCGCCTTTTCTACCCAACCCTCTAAAAATCACTGCAAAGAAACAGTAAGATAAATTCTTAGCCTAAATGGCTTAATCGTAATGCTTATTTTGTTTACCTAATATAATGTTTTAAAGATAATCCATTTCTATATTATTTTGTACTGAATTGGGTCACAAATATTAGATAAAACTTTATTTGGTATAAGAAAATAGACGAAGAACTTTATTGATATAAATATTTATACATAATTTTAAATTTAATAAAAACATCATGGAAAACTATAATTATTATCATATATTGCATATCAGAATGTAATTGAATATTATTTATAAACTACAACTTTCATAAAAAATATATATATAAGGCGATAAATTATAATATGAATGAAATATATTTATATATTTTTATATAAAAAATTGTTTTTAATAAAAATAATAAATAGTGATTAGATGGAAGATAAATCACAATCTAAAACATTTTCAAAATGACTCCCCCCATTTTTTATATAAATAAAATTATTATTAAATATTTTAATATTGTCGTGAATATAAAGGGTCATATCGGGCCCATACAAAATTATCATTATATTTTATATAAGTAAAAATAGCCGTATTTAACATTGTGGCCATCCCCCTGACTTCTGTGTCAGAAGCCCATATCTGCTGTTTCATTACATTATTTAAGACATAAGTTTTTATGTCTATTTTTTTGTTCGTGTCGTAAAGATAATTTTTAATTACCTTTCCCATCTCGGATGTTAGCGTAAATTGTGACAACCATTGCCTGAGAATAACATGGGAATTTTGAGCTCCAGTAAGCTCTACACTAATCGCCCTAAATTATATAAAGTAGAATAAAATGAAATTTTATATTAATATGTTTTACCTATAAAAACAATTCCCATCACCTTCAATTTGCACCAGGATGGTGGGTTCACCAAGTTGTTTCCCATAGTCTACATTCTACATCCCGACAATGTTTGGGAGGCTTTAGACCATATATTTTAGCATGATATTTTTTCCATACCTTTGTTGTAGGAAAAAAATATCTAGGGATATTTTCTAATTTATTTATTATCAAAATATCATCATCCAATTCTGTATATGTAATAAATTAAAAAATAAATCAAATATATGTAAAACATTTGAGGTTTTATCAAAACGACTGCTTGATTTTTAACAAGCCTCACAGGATTTGATAAAACACTTTTATTGCTCCCCAACCAATAAAAGCTTTAAAAAAAATAATTAAAAGAATATTGCAAATTTTTACTTTTAGCTATTATTTGATTAGTTTTAATCCCCAGATGCCCTCCCATAGCAATACCTGCAACTGTAGATACACCCCCCTCATGTATTGTTTTAATTATTTTTTTTTGTTCATCTCCTGTCAGTATAACTTTTCTTTCTTCTAAAATATCATTAAATTATATATATTATAATATTTGTGATGCAGAAAAAATATATATAATCAATGGCTAGAATAATAAACTGCACTTAATTTTGCCATACAATTTTAGTTGTATATATTATAATACCTAACTTTAATAAATTAATTATGCAACCATTTATAAGCCCAATATACATTATAATAAAAGTATCTAACATTTACTTTTCATCTTTATGTGATAATCTAAATTAAATTTTAGTTGTAAAATAGCATTTAATAATGCCTATATGTAAAATTTTATCAAATGTTCTTACATATATATACACTTACATTTGCAGCTATAATTAATTTTAGATGAAAAAAAGATAATAATCAATGGCCTGGGCATTTTTCAATGTTAAAAAATAATATATTGCATTAAACTTATAATGGCTAATTTTAATAAATTAATCATGACATATCTAAAATTTACTTTCCCCATAGAATAATTGATTTTCTATTTAGGAAGTCATATATATCATTATAATTTGAGCTAAAATATTTCTGAAATAAATAATATATTGTTAAAAATTTACTTCATAATAAAAAAGAATTTCAAATTAAATTGTATTATATAGAAATATTTCTAATTTGACAGCCTCATTCAAATCTGACGTTTTAAAAGTATATTTAAATTAATAATGCGAGATTTTAAAAATATCTATGAGATTTTGAAAAAATCCATGAGATTTTAAAAATATCTATGAGATTTTGAAAAAATCCATGAGATTTTGAAATATTGAATAGCCGTGAGATTTTGATGATTTAAATGGCCCCCAATGTATTTGAAGCGATAAAAATCAAAATCTCATGAAATCACTTTCACACGGTGTCAGCCGTGAGATTTTGATGGTGTGAGAATTCGAAATCTCACGGTAATCACTTTCACACGTTACACCGGTTCTTTTCAAATAAAATGGTTGTTAGAATTACTACCGATCAATTTACCTTGAAAGAAAAATAAATTGGGATATTATCAGCTTCTTCGGTCTCCATTTGCCAATGAACCATTTTTTTAATTGATTGATATTTGAAAATATAAATCATTAGGAACATGTTGACAATAATAAAATATTATGTAGGCAGCATCTACATTATAGAAAATTAATGGGAGGCATACCCTTTCCAAAATCTACGCACACCCCCAAGCCGCGATATTTATGTACCCATTATATTATAACAGCCCCAAGATAATAATTATAAAAATCTTATAAGGAGTCGCTATATTATCTCCAAATAATTCTAATTAGACTCTTTCAGTCTTCATGATTATTGATTAGGAATAACAAATAAACCTTAGTTGGTGATAATCAACTAGTTGTTACTAACCGTATTCGAAACATTAGCCGCAAGCATGTAAAACGTTAAACTGTACTAAAATGTTACTATGAATGAATGAGAAATATATATCTATTAATAAATTATAAATAGTGTTTATTTTTACTTTTTATTTAAATAAAATCTATATAATTTCTCTAGAAAGCATTATTTAGTCCCGTCTAATCAATAGATTTGAAAACTAGGGTAAAATGACTTGAATAAATTTTAATAAAATTATTTTTTTTATTTCGGAAATTCTTTCCGATATATTCTTTATTCAAAAAAAGAATTGGCCTAAGAACCTTGATGCATGATTTGGCAAGAAGCAAATAAAAAGAATCTGCCAAAGCTTCAAATTAAATGAATATGAAACAATTTCTGTGCTTCGACAATTATTGATGAAGATATCCCTAATTAAAAATTAAGAAATTTCTTAGTTCTCTGGATACTTTATCCTCCAGTACTGCCTAGTGAAAGGGCCTTTCTTATTTTGATCTTGGTAGCTAATCGAGGGAAGGAGTAAATATTTTGCCAAATTCAATGTTCACAAATGGCCCTTCGATATTGAAATATGGGAAAGGAATCATCGCGGGCGAATGAAATCTTTTCAAAAATAAATACCGCCCTAAGAAATCGAAGAAATGAAAGTTTTTGGAAAATATAGATATCGGTGATATTAAACTTGATATTTATTTATATTCATAATATCGGGGGAATTATAAATAAAAAAAAATTCAAGGCTGAGCCCAAGCCTAAAAATTATAGACTGTAAATTCCTCAAAAATGAAAGTATTTAATGAACATTTGAATAGTAATAAAAAAAAATTGAAGCCAATCAGCTCACGCTCATTGAGATGCAGAATTCATCTACATCAAAGATAAATATAGCACAGTCAGCTGTTGATGAATTAGTTTTTAATTTTGTAATTAAAGAATTAAAACCATTTTGTAGAAAGCACTGCATTTATTAATATTATCAAAATTGCAGCCAACTAAAAATGTGATGTCTAGGCCTACCCTGGTATTAAAAATTAAAAAGCATATGACACCATGGCAAAGAAATTATTGGATTTATTGTGTATCACAAAAATTGTCTGTACAACTGTGAATTCTTCGTCAGCTTATCATTGGTATATAAAATATATATTTTATAGATTTAATAATATTATCTCCTAAAAAAAAGTTCTTACTTAGGGGTGACGATACACTGGCTACACCAAGACGCTCTTGAGAGGGTTTCAGCAAGGCTAAATTAAAAACACAAATTTGATTATCTAGCAAAAATAATCTTTGAAATTTTTACCACATATTAGATATAAATTTACCAAATACATTACCGACAATGCTAGAAAATATAAAAGCTTTCAAATAAAAAATTATAATATATTCATTAGAGTATATAAACAAGGAGAGCAATCGAGTGATAAAATAGTTCCTCTGCCATTATTTGATCTATTTGAAAATCAAAATATTAATGATAGTATTGTATACTTACCTAAGTATCATTCCTGTTCAGCACACATTTTAAAACTAATTATAAGTGTTGACATTGGAAAGGCAGGTAACGATGTCCATTTTAAAACCACTTCAAAAATTACATTTTCTAAGTGTAGGTTATTGTGGAATAAAGACGGATAATCTTCAAATTGTGCAGCCATTTTTAAGGAAAACATGGGAAGATATCTGATTAAACCGGTTATAACAAAATGGAACTTTTTTTATAACTCCGTGAAATTAAAGTCTTATTAAGGAGAATTGCCAAAAATTTGACGAATTTTGTGATAAATCTGAATTACAGAGAATTTCAAATAACGACAAGTCGTTCATTGGTGAATATTGTTTGGCTGTTAATTAAGAAATATGATATGTATAATATGATTTTATAGGTTATGGAACTGATTGCTATGGCTCTTTCAATTTTAGAGAATGAAAAAAAAATGCATTTGGGATATCTCACTCACGATAACTATTATAATATTAAAATTTAAAAAATGGCTTTAAATAATTTCGAGTTTTGTAAGCCGCTTATTAATTCAATTCTGGAAGGCGTAGAAAAAAGGTATACAGTTCATATATTGCTTACAATTTATATTTTGATTCTCTTTTATTTTCAATAGATTCAAACACATATATCAAGTTGAGTATATACTATCAGCAATATTTCACCCTCTGTTTAAATTGGATTGGCCCTGGATCATATTAGAGGTCAACAAAGGAAGAATACTAGAACTTATTTCCAGTTTGAGAAAAGATTTGTTAAAGAAAGAGCAGTCTTTTATCCAACAGACATACCAGAATATTTTTTGATAAAGTTAAATTTTTTTGATGAGGAAATGAATGAAGATCCTTGTGAAGGCGATCTATTAAGCTTTTTTCAAAATAATGATATTTCTTTAATATTTCTAATAAATTCCCCGAATTTAAATTTTATTTATTAAATATATTACAACTCTCCCATCCTCTGCGCCAATTGAACGTGTGTTTAGCACGGCAAAAGCTGTGTTGAGCATTAACCGCTCTTGTTTGTATGATCAAAATTTCGAAATTCAATTGTTGCTAAAAATAAATAAAAAATTATTATTTTTATATAATTTTATTTATATTATAATTATATATATATAAATTTTTTTTATAAAAAGATCTTATCTTATTATGTATTCATTCTGTATAGTTTAATTTATATTATATATTGTAGGAAAAAAAAATATTTTTTTGTATATAATATTTAATTTTTTAAGTAACGAGTAACCTATTACTTTTGGGAATAGTCAGTAACGCGCTTCCTTTTTTAAAAAGGTAACGAGTCACGGTTTCTTTTTTCAGACGTAATAAGTGACGGTAACGCGTTTCTTTTTTATAGTAACGTTTACAGCACTATTAAAAATAAATGGGCGCTAAAATATTTTCTTTTTATTCTATTTTCTTTACTTTTCCTTATTACTGCATTTCATGCATTCTCTTAAGTCTCATCACCACTTAGTGGTTGTGTGTACTCGGTCTTAATCTGGTCCATCTTCAATGCTATCTATTTCATTCTCTTTTTTAGTCATCAGATTTAAAAATCTTGTATTCTGTAACACAAGGAGAAAATGAAATTATAAATGGAATAAATGGGGAATTTTTTTAAAATTGTTATTAAAAACTATATTAAAATTGTAATCATTGAGTGTATAATGTGACAAGTCAATCTAAAATGAAGACTAATCCAAAGCTTTCCTATGGCGATTAGAAATCTTTTTAAACCATTAACAACTGAAGGCGATTTTTACATTTTAAAAACTGATATTGCCGGAAATGAATTCTGGCATAATATAGAGTATCTCTGTTTACAGCAATGTTTTTTTTCGGCAATTCTTCAAATCATTTTTTGAGCGCATTTTTTTAAGTTTAAAAATCTGATTTTACCGAAAATGTATTCCCTCATGTTGTGAATACCTACCCTATGAATTTCATTTTGCCATGAACTTTTGAACTTAATATAATTTATATTAGATTTTCCATAGATTTTTTAAATAAATTATAAATGACTCAAAGGTTAATGGCAAATTGTCTACTTCATAAGATATGCATTCTAAACATGCTGAAATAGATTTCTGGTAAAATATGATATTTAAATTGTTAAAAAGGCGCTCAAAAAATGGTTTGAAGTTGAAAAATAACCACATTGCAGCTAACACCTTCACTAGATTTAGAAATTTCTGCCGGGAACATTTTAACGAATACTAATATGTTATATTTTATATTATAGATTTCTTATAAATTATAAATATATGGCGAAATTGTCCGTGTAAAGTACGGTAATAATCTATATAGCTGGAATTCATTTTCGATAAAATCAAATTTTTTAAAAATAAAATCCGCTCTAAATATATGGTTTAAAATTGAAGAATCACTATAGGAGAAATACAGATTAGTCATTATTTTGGATAAACTTACCACTTATTACCCATTCATATATATTCGTCCACTATTAACTAACAATTCTAAAAGAAGATCTTATAAAACATTCTAGAGAAGATCATCTTATTAAAAAAAATCACTTAAAAAACTTCATGCAAGTACTCAGGATAGAGAGTTTTATAGTCAAAACAATTGGTATCTTTATTTTAAATTGTTTTCTATATATAATATTTTATAATTATGTAATTTAACTTCTA